GTGTTTGGTTTTTACTTTTTGTGTTTTTTATTAGGTTTTTTGTACGGATTTTCTTATGTGTGTGTGTGTGGGGGGGGATGTTAAAATTTCTTTGTTTTTACTTTTTTTTAAAGGCAGGTCCATTTGTGCAAATACATTTGACCACTTTGTAATACATATAGGCTCAGTTAGTCTTGTTTTTTTTCTCCGGACCAAATAAATCAGCTTGTCGACTTACAAAATATCGAGCCGTTTTTTAAACGTCAAGTGACTCCAATGTTGAAAAGACACAAAAGCAAACATGATGAATACAGGACGCACTGAGGGACACCAGAAGCGCAAGTAGGCAAAACATACTCGTACTTCTGATAAACGTTCGCAGGAGGGCGAGAGGGTGGGGTCGGATTGACTTAGTGTAGAGCACAAAAACAAATCCAGTAGATTTTAATTTTACATTCTGCAATTTTTCTGTCTCATTATTTCGCCCACAGGCAAGCGAACGAGCGAGCAAGTCTCCGACGTTGAAAGGGAAGATCTGCGAGCGATGAAGCAGGTTGGAAATCGTGAATAAAGGCAGGGTTGACAGGTTCCCTGTACCATGCATTCTTGTGCTTGTGAATTCCTGACTTCATCTTCTCGACAAGTTCCGTCAGCACTGACAACGCACTGCTTCGACCACCTGCAGCTTGATTTAGACAAGGGCCACAGATCCATACGAGAAATGGACTCTCGTCGATTTTTTGTCTTCTGATTTGTCCAGATTGAAGAAAGAAACTTCAACGTTTAACAAAACTCAGCTTCGATTGGATTAAACAAATCTTAAAGAAGTAAAAAAAAGTTATTTTTTAGGATAACCCCATATTGCGTACTTAGAGAGGACGTTCTAGGTCTGAAGGCCTTCGTGTTTTAAAATACATATTTCTAGTCTCTTTCTTCTGGTATTCTTGTTCTTGTGGGCCCCCCACGACCTGTAGACTTCACCATTCTACCCAAGACGCTGGAGGAGTCGAGTGAGAACGGCCGGATGTCCCAGTCCCCCGTCAGTCGGCCCGGCTCGGCCACGCCCAACGGCCACATCGCAGTCGCCAAGATCGCCGGAGTGCCGTGCCCTGCCACGCCCACTCGCTACACGGCACCTGTGCACATTGACGTGGGAGGGAGCATCTACACGTCGTCTCTCGAGACTCTGACCAGGTGAGATCTACCCTCTCTCTCTTTCTGTCTCCCCCCCCCCCTCTCTCTTTCTCCTCTCTCTCTCTCTCTCTCTCTCTCTCTCTCTCTCTCTCTCTCTAATCTTCTGGGCGCTCATATGACCTTATGCAGTTGCGAGCGCAGTAGAACCTCTACTAAAACTAAAAAGCAAGAAGTCTCGCTACAATTCAGTCTTTGACCTGCCCATGTTCATGCCCGGGGTCTCATCTTGATGAGAAGAGAATCAAATTTTGTTTGGGAATATCCAGCGAGACAAATTTGAGTTTGTTGGTTTGTTGGATAACTTCATATTCTTCCCCCTCGGGCATGTACAATGCAGTTGGGTAGCAGATCGTTAGCGGAGACTAGATCAATACTGTAGATAACTGACGAGTCTCTTGTTGTTCGAGAACGTGGCCTTTGAGACACCTGTCGCCTCAGCCCTCGGGCAGCTCAAGGACCATCTTCTTAACAATCCATTTTATTCTTCTCTTCTGTCCCCGTGGGCCATACGTTTCTCTCTCCCCCCCC